AAAAAAAAAAAAAAAAAAAAAAAAAAAAAAAAAAAAACCAAAACCAAAATATTTGGAACAAAATGCCTAAAACAATACTCACCTGAAACAGAGGCCAGACATACTGAAGAGTACAAAAGCAAACTTAATTCAGGCCTACTGSTCCATTAAGGGCAGACAAAGCCTCCTCCTGAGGCTACACCCAAAATGGACACCAAGTCATGAGATCTTCACCTTTTATAAGTTCTGTCTCATTAACATACTGGGTCTCAATTTCCCAGTGATACTTCCAGGTGATGATATCAACCACCCCAAGCTTGTCCCCCCAATTCATTGTTGTTTACATATTTTGGGGCTCTGAGGCAGCAAGGTGTACTTGGATTCAGGYTCAGTGAGTGATTGTTTTGTCTAAAGATGGGAGAATGGTAGTTTTAGTGCTGYAGTAGAGAAGTACAACAATACAGATACATGAAAATACAGAAACTAAAAATTCTAAGGCATCACCTTACCTGTGTTTCAGGGGTGGACTTGAGCATGAACACTGTCACAGAGGTTATCCATGGAAGTGAAACATGCAGTGGGATTAAGCCAAGCAGTTAAAGCCTCTCTGGTGTGGAGGACAATGGCTGATATGTCAGCGTGAGGGGTATGGGCAGTTTGACAGTATCAGTCGCCCAGATCCACCAAAGCAAGTGCCACAGCAAGGGGATCAACAACTGGATGGCTGGAAATATCCTGTGCCCCACACCAATGTCTGGAACACTGTTCTGGGCCTTGAAAAGCACGTTTTACAGCGACACCATACACCAGATATAACAGAGTCAGATAACAGGACTTATTTCCAAACCAAAATCATAGATGCTTGGGCCAAAGAGCACAGCACTGAGTGGGAGTATCACATTCCCAGTCATGCACAAGCCTCTGGAAAGACCAAAGGATGCAATGAACAACAAAAGACCACACTAAGGAGTGGGTGGCAGACCCTCAAGCCCTGGGGTGCATATTTAGCAAAGGCCACCAGGGATCACCAATAGGCCTGGTCTGGCACAATCTAAACTTCTGCTTACTGTAGAAGGGTATAAAGCTCCTGCATGAAACATTAAAAACATGCTGGGGAGAAGGGTCTGGGTTATCCCTACCTCAGGCAAAGATAAACCCATTGCTAGGATGCTTTTGCTCAAGAACCTGGACGCACTTGGGTACTGTGAAAGGATGGAAAAGTCCASTGTGTGTCTCAAAGGAATTTAAGTATATCTAATGAATGAAATCCTTAATAACTATGTAATGCTGTGAATTAAAACTTCTAGGCTGGCCCTATGCCCATCACCACACTGGGCAACCCTGTGGTGCCTGTCTGTGCCACGCTGGAYTCGGGGCTCTGACCCCAATTCCCTTTTGATCACATGTTCATGAAGAATGAATTTCAATGGAACCACACAAGCACAACAGTGATGGATTCAGAACTGGTTTCCACATTCAACAGTACAACACCACACACCTTCCTTCCTGCCTGAAAAATAGTTCTAATGRATGGAGCCCAAGGTCATGCACTCGATAAACYCARTGGGCTTTTATAGGGATGGTCCCTAATTTAAGSGAATGTTATCTGTGTGTGTGCATGTACCAAAGGAGAGGAAAGTGATGGGATTTTGGGAAGGGGGACCTGGCATTACAGAAATTATATGGAATAAGGGAACTACTGTCCTGGTTTCTACGACTTTTCAGAGCCTCACACTCTACCAGTGAGGTGTGGCAAGAAGCAAGGACAGGTACCCAAGCTGGCCAAAGGGGTATTACATATCACAGATTAGCATGTCTAATATATAAACAGGGGAAAATTATCCAGGACGGGCTGGTCACTGCTGGAGGTGGGCTGGATATCAGTCAGCAAGTGGTGCGTAAYTGTATTGTGCATCACTAGTTTTGATTTCCTGTGCTTTAAAAAAAATTGTAATGATAATTAATATTTAATTGTAATCACTGTAATTTGCATTACTAAATTTTATTTAGTTTAAATTTTTAAAAAGTTCTTTCCTGATTATCCTCCCCTGCATCCCATCAAGGGTGGTGAATGAGGGAGGGGCAGGATAGTGCTTAGTTACSAGTTAGGGTGAAACCACAACCAGGTTGCTCAAAGTCCCATCCAGCCTGGGCTTGAACAATTCCAAGAATGGGGCATCCACAACTTGTCTGGGCAATCTGTGTCTTCACTACCCTCACAGGGGTGAATTTCTTCCTAATACAGAATAGCATAGAATTAAGACAATTGCTTCACTATCACAAGTAAATGGTTTACTAAAGCAACTAGATTTCAAAAGGTGTGTATTTCTTTTGGAAAGAATAATTCTTCCACCCACCCCATTTTCTTATGTTCTTCCACTTTTAAAGTTGGTGCTAACTTCATACTTGCAGGCTATGTGTGAAAAGAGGTTTATTGTTACACAGATGCCAGGCAGTTACATGCATTCCAGTTCTGAGAAAAGCAGGCAGCTTCACCTGTTCACTTCTTGCTTGTATCTTCACTTCAAAGTTGSAGCAAGGTGTCCATCTGGTTGCAATAAAACTATGTGATGTAACAACGATTCCAGATGCCAGCTTATTTCTTTTTCTTCCCTTTACCCTTCTTGCCTCCCTCGCCTTGCTGAAGGCTTTGATCACTGCCTCCCATCTTTTGAGTTCTTGTTTTCAGTTTGGGAATGGTTTCTGCAGCATACAGCATCACTGATTTACCTAAAATACASGGAGAGATCAATGCATGCCTACTATGTTAAGAGTGGACACAAAACCCAGGAGATCTGCTTCCTTTCCCCATATGGCAAGGAGCTTGTGAAAAACTACTGGTGGGRAAAAAACCCAGAAGTGCAGGACTGATAAATGTCACAGTAGACTGAAAAAGCCACATAACCTGACAATTTCCAAAGAGTCCGCATCCTTCCTGCTACTCCTTACCTTCACCTCTTACTAGCCCAAAACATTTGGAACAAAATGATCAGGCAAAAGCTACATGCATTTTCAGAAAGGCACTGCTGTCTTCCAGAAGGAATCTCGTTTTAAATCATCTCCCTCTGACTATCAGCACTCTTATGCCATTTACACCCAGCACTCTTGTTCCTTCCTTAAGATAGATACTSTTTCCCTTTTACATAYGGATTAATCTTCAGAAAAAATGCAAAAGACTAGATTATTTGTCATTCAAGATGAGTAATTCCTATTAATCAGTTAAGGGCAGCTGCTTCATTGATAATTTAYGAAAATGGCCAGCAGAAAACTCAACTGAACTCATGAACACTGAAGTATTGTGTTTTAYCAATTTGGGATCCACTCTGACACGCAGATGATATATGTAGCCTAAGAAAACAGTGGAATACAGCAATTTAAACACTAAACACTCTGCTTAAATGTCAACAAAACACTAATCTAAAACTGAACAGATGCTTTGCTCAATGTAGCAAAAGTTCCCCACAAGCTCCTCCAATGATACTGCTGCAGAAACAGCAGCATCGAAGGCAGCAGCACTTTACAACTTTAYTCAATGCTCACACTGCAACTTGAGTTTGTTAACTTACACAGGCAATGAGATTTAATGTAAAACTGTATGATTTACAATAGTTAAAATTAATTGAATAGGCTGGTAACTAAACTCCTTCTGGTTTTTTAACAGTGCCTGAACCCAGGCACTCTACTCACGTGTTGGAAACTGAGGTAAACAAGGGTTGCCATCATCCTGTTTGAGCTGGATTCGTACTCTTCCTCTGTACTGCACRTCTCTGTTCCACTCTCTGGGATACATCTTGTTTTTCTGTCATACAGGAGAAATACATGATAATGTGCATTTGAAGACACAACTGTTTCAGTGGGAATGCTGAAAACAACTGGTAATTTTGTRACTAAACTGAGTAATTTTGTGACTAAACTACTACAGGGACTGTTTTAAATACCYAGTGGTCTGGATAACAGGGTTTGGTTTTATCTCCACTGTTACAAACCCTTGTGGACACCTAGGGATAGCAAATGATAGGTCTCAATTACTGCTTTTGGCTAATTACRGCCTTCATTCTTGATGAAACATCACAGGTTTCTCAGTAGAGCTGGTGTGCGCTTCAGCTAYTTCAGAAAAGCTGAGTGATTTTTTACCACGCTTTGGGTATCAGTCACACTTCTAGATGAGGACCTGTATTCTTCTTAGAAAAATCAACACTGTTCTACATTATTACTTCAGGAAATGACCCRTAAAGTTACCTTTCTAGAAATCCAGACTCATTCCCTAAGGAAGAAATTTACAACAACAAGCTATTTAGAGAGAAAGAATTACTGCAATAATAAGCCAACATTGTCTGGCTGAAACATAATTCCAAAGGACTATCAAGACTCCAACTATCAGATTCCTATTTCTATGCAAGATTCGCTGCAAAGGTAATCACCTTCCAATAAAAACATTCCTTTTTAAAAGCTTAATTTGCAGAGTATCAGCCTGCAAAAACAGCTTTTATTTTGACACACTTTTAAGCACCCAGGGCAGTCTTCTAAGAAGGCWGGCAACACAGAAGAAATCTTTTTATAAGCTTAAAAGGGACATTGTCTCAGAGATCGGAGGTATTTCTGACTTGCATCAGTTTTCCAACATTTAGCTCATGATTATTTTCAGTTATGATTCCAAGCAAGAAAAGGTAGTAACAAAACTTCTTAACTGCAAGTTATAAGAAAAGATGTAATGAAAAAACAGACATGTAACAAATTTGGGGTTTTTTTATATGGTAACTTTTTTTAAAATTACCTCTAATAACACATTGAATCCTACTGCTGCACATACATCTTGGATTTCTGTAGATGTGGGATTTTCAACAGCCTGGTGAAACAAAGTGTTAAAATTARTGAGCATCAAGCATGACCTGACTATACAAAAATACTTATCAATTTCCCAGCCTACACTCTGTAACTACAAAACAAGGAAAGAGAAGGTAATGACAAATCTATTTGTAGGAGTCATTTGTCAGTRTTGCTGTGGTCTAGAAAACATTAAAAAAATGAAAGAAGAGCTAAGACATCAGSAAACAGATAACAGATGAGACAGAATTCATTAGGACAAGGGGACAAGTTAAAGAATTGCTTACAAAAAGTAACTGAAATTAATTAACAGTTATTGTATGTACAAAGATACCAAAAGCTGTGAATCAGCAACAGCAAACTTACAGCAAGGACTGAGGGAGGAAAAAMCAGAAAATTTCTAACCACAGGGCYGCAGATTCCTCCCATAGGTAAACCTTTGATTGGCACCTTGCATGCTCAAGAAAGATTTTGTTTTTAACTGTCATCAGAAAATGTCCCAACCCTAAGCATGGAGAAAAGCCCTTTTTATTTCCACAACTGCTTGGTAAAATTATTACAAAGCAGTGACACAATGAAAAACTATTTCTGGGCAGATTCAAAGCAGCAATAAGTATCACATCTGTGTGTCACATGCACACGACACAGAATATAGGCTTATATAGTCAAACCCAGTAATTTTTGCTTTGGTGGAAAGCTTTTCTGCATTGTTTTCAACTTCTGCAAACTTATGTAGGAAGCTGAGTGAATCAAGTTCCTCATTACTTCACTTGCTTGCCCAAGCTGCTGCCCACATGAAAGCAAACACTTCAGTCCAGGACTCTTCCATGAAATTCACATGCTAGCACTTGATTACTTTCAAATATACTGTAATTTCCACTTACTGAGTTACTTGCCATGGGGGAATGGAAAGATAAGGGGGATGTATTTTCCAGCTCTCCACACACCACTACATAGCAAAACAAAAYGTTCTATTTCTCTGCTACCCACAAAATTACCTTGTCTATAGGTATCCTCCTTCCTTCTGCAATCGTTTTCTTGTTATTCAAATAAGCTGGATAAATGCAGATGAATCTAAAAAGAGGAAATAGTTGAGTTTGAGTAAGTTACATCAACTCCTTAATGCTTATGCGGTATTTTCCTAGTAAAACAAAAAATAAATGTCATGGCTACAACACAAAAGTTCCCACAGCAGCTTAGAACAATAATTTATTTTCCTTAGACTGCTTAACAAGAGCTGCAAATGCCACTTTGAATTATCATGGACACTGCCCCACCACTTTTTGGGGCACTGTGTGTACAAGGGATGGCACTACCCATTCTCAGAAAAAATAAGTAAAGGAGACTGAAACAGAACCTTTTTGACCTATTTCTTACAACACTGAAACCTGGAAGTGAACACATATATTTCCGTGAAAAGAATTAAAGAACATTTTCTGTAAAGATTTTACTACACTAATAGCTAACTAAGTTCTGTGTTCGTTTTGTCTTGTTTTTTTAAATTCACACACGGCTCAACCCAGATTTAGGTATATTTATGAAGGCTACTGAAAAACTGCACTTTGAAACTTGCTTAAGATTTTTCAATAGATTTAAACTTGTCAAGCACATACATGGGATCAGCATGACAGAGCCTCTACTATACTTATTAGACAATTTTAAAACCCAGCTTGCTGAGACCAAGAAGAGGTGGAAGAAGGCCTGCATTCATTTGAATGAGGATCTATGAGARCATAAGAAAATGGGAAAAGTGAGTAAAACATATGGTGCAGACAGATTTTAGCTGAATGACAACAGGGTAATGCGTTCCGTGCCTCTAAAACCAGCCCAAATCACYTCACGTCCTACTATTTTGGCCTTTTCCTTTCCAGCGGTATTCTCCATTCTTTGCTACTGCCCTCTTTACGAACCCACTTATTGTGGGCTCTGCACGGGAGTTCCAGTCTCCTTACTGACATCCGAAACAGACTAATGCCACCACCACCCCTTGTTTCACAGGGATTGCAACCACCACCATCCCTTACACTACGGGGATTTAATATCAACAACCACCCCCACCCCAGGGGTGGTTACTGCTTACTCCACAGGGATTCCAACCACCACCCTTTGCTCCGCTCGCTTCTTCTTTTTGCGAGCCCTGAATGACACGTAAACAAACGAAGCCACGAAAGCCCCGACCCCACAGTACCTCTCCTTGTCTGCCGGGGACGCGGCGCCAGCGGCGGCGGCCATGACACCAATACCTCYCCTGTCCCGCCCCACGCCACGGCGGCGGAAAGAGCCCGCCTCCCGCCGCCCGCTGCGGAATTCCATTGGTTAGCGGGGCTGTCTGTCAAGCGCCGCAGCCTATGAGAAGAGGCAACGTCCCTGCCTCCGGAGCTGCGTGCGCGGCTTCCGCCAGGCTGTGGGAGCRGGGGCTGGGTATGGTGGCGGGGGCGCTTTGGGAATGTGCGGGAGGGTCCCGACACACACCCGTGAAAAATGGGCTGCAGGCGCCGGGAAAACACGAGCTGACWGAGTGGCGGTGGGCCACACAAGGTGTTGTTGGAGCCCGTGCAGCCGCCGTGTGGTGCCCTTCACGCGCAGACCTCTAGCTGTATTTGAATCAAAGAATGCTCCGTCTAAGAAATGCCAAGAAATGTTTATTTGATATTACCACAGCTTCCTGTGCAATTATGTGAAAAAAAGCCAAAGCTTAATGAAAAAAAAWTAAGAGGGTCCTGTGTCACATCTGGGTGACGGGGCAGCTGCACCCTCAGCAATTTWACTGATGTCACCAAACCGTGAGGAGGGGCTGATACCCCAGAGGGTCCTGGAGCCGTCCAGGGGAACCTGGAGAGACTGGAGGAAGGGGCTGACAGGAACCTCATGCAGTTCAATAGTGGAAGAGCGAAGTCCTGCACCCGGGGCAGGAGCAGCCCCCGGCACCAGCATGGGAATGCAAAGCTGGAAGGAGCGTGTCAAGGAAGGGCATGGGGGTCWTGCTGGACACCATGGGTTGAACATGAGCCAGTGCCGTGCCCCTGTGACAAGGCCAGTGGTGTGTGGGCTGCGCAGCGAGAGGCATTGCCAGCAGTGCTGCGGAGGGGATCTGCCCCTCGGCACTGTAGAGGCCACATCGGGAGTGCCAGGTCCAGCACGGGGCTCCTCAGAACAAGACGGGCGTGAACACAATGGAGAGAGGCCASTGAATGGTCACCCAGGCTACAGAGGGGCTGGAGCAAGCCCATCCTCAAGAGAAAGCTCAGCAATGTACACAAACACCTGCAGGGAGCGTGCAAGGAGGGTAAATCCAGGCTCTTCCCGGTGGTGCCCAGTGACAGCAYCAGWGRCGATGGGCATGCACTGAAACAGAGGAGGCTCCCTCTGAACATCAGGAAACTCCTTTTCCCTGTGACAGTGACTGAGCACTGGCACAGGTCACCCAGAGGGGTGGTGGCATCTCCATCCTTGGAGACACTGAAAAGCTGTATGGGAATGATCCTGGGCTACCAGCTCTTGGTAGCCCTGCTGGACCAGTGGTTGGACCAGCTGACACCCAGAGGTCCCTGCCAACCTCAGTCTTCAGGCACCATGTGAATTTCACAGGTCATATTTTGTGCACTGTTACACTCTTCATACAGCAGCTATGTACCAGTACAAAGAACTGAAGGTATCTGTTCASTATTTATCTGTGGTGGTGGATCTTTTTTTTATTTTTCTGCTCCACCAACACATCTAGCTGGCAATGAAATACTGAAGAGGGGKTGTAGAGACCCATTGCAACGCAGTGGAACCCCCAGGGGAGAACTGCATGTAACATTCATAAAAACGTRGAAGAGTTAAGAGTTACAGAGAAGCCTCAGAAGGAATCAGGGTGCAACAGATTAAAAGGTTATTGTGTATTCATCCTTTGAAATGACAAGCAGTTTTGTTGTCTTCTGTCTTTGCTCTCATTCTGCCAGAAGTGAATGCACTGCACAAAGCACTGCGGAAAACACGAAYAGCACAACTGTGTGGCATCAGCAGGACCAAGTGGCTTTTGGAAATGCGACTGCAGCTGTCTGGGACCAACTCAGCGACTTGGCAGCAGCTCACAAACATGACTCAACAAGCTCCTTAGCTGAAAAACAAGGTTATGTAAATGAGATATGCCAGTTATAAGGAAGTCTTTGATGCAATAGTTGTCCAGTGCTAAAGACAGGTTTTTGCAGGGTTATCTCCAGATTACCATCAAGCTGACTGATACAGTCAAGTGTAGCTTTCTAAGAGGTAATCCACTACAAATAATTACTTATATAATTTGTTGCTTAGCAACAAAACATCCTCATCTTGTTAACATTAACTTGGAAATGGATTTCCTGTGTTTTTCTTTGTTTGCACAGTGTTTTTATTTTTGATCTCCATTACTTGCTCACACTTGTCTTTCTATTAAACGATTTTTAATTGAGATCCCGACCACCTAAAAAGTGCCAAGAGCTGCCTCTACCTTGGGAATAGCCCTGTTGTCCAGGTTGACACTGCTTAAATCTGTGCATCAGCCAACATGGGCTGAAGCTGCTTCTGTCAACTTGCTTTTAGCAAGACAGAGGTTGGCTGTGAGGGAGAAGAGGGGTGCTCAGTGTGTGTCCACAGTGAACTTTGGGCTGACCAGGTTGCAATTTATTCACTGTCTTTGTGCAGGGCATGTTGATGATCTGACCATTGCATGAAATGTGGTCATCCTAAACCTTGTTACGTTTTCGTTAGGTGCATTGCCCTTTGCTTCTCAGACACATGGGTCTGAACCCACCAAAAYGGTAAACATAAATATTCCTCTGAAGGACAGTGCTCTAGCAATGTTTAAATCAAAGAATGGTCTAGTTAATCTAATCTTTTAGGAAGTAATACTAGAAATATTTATCTGACATTACCACAGTTTCATTGTTTTAAATTGAAAAATGGGCTAAAACTTAATGAAAAAATACAAAAATTTACTTCAGACTACTTCCTTAGATTTCTGTAGTGGTTTTAGTTTCTCAGTTTGTAAAGCAGTTTCTAATGCATCACCTTGAGAAACACTGGTCTGACTGTATGTTAAAAGCAGTGAACACAACCTTTCAGTTTGTGAGTACCATCATTGTGTATTGTGATTAYTCTCAGTCACTTCCCCTAATTCAGGACAGTGAGAAAGGTTTTGTATATTTGATTAATGTTGTTTTATTTGACAGTTGCATGTTAYTATTTTTTCTTAGAATTCCTGCAGTTTTTTAATGCCTATGTATYAATGGCTTATCTTATAAAACAATATTTAAATTTAATGTTACAGATTATACATTGCCTGTTTGTGAAATACAATGGGTATGAAGACAACGATTTTCCACATCTTYTTCAGATGGAAAAATAAGTCACAAATTCTCACAAATGGAGTTTGTGGAATTACAGATTGGCTTGTGCAGTGAACATAACTGATCACACAGGGGAAACATATTTGTTTTTTTTTCTGCAGATCTTCTAATTACTTACCAATCTCCTTTATAGGTGCTAGAATTCACAGTGTCTTGAAACCAGGATGCCTAAAATAAAGCAGTGAGTAGAAACATGTCAGTTTAATCCTCATCTTCATAGTAGAATGACTTCATTGAGTGTATGGCATCCAATCACTGCATTTGTTCTAGTGCCATAAGAAATAAATTTCAAAGTTGAATTCTGCATATTTCCAGCCTGAGGAACTCAGAGACAGAAGTAGGTCACAAAGCATTCCAGCTCAGGCATGCTGTAGCTGCATGCACTTCCTGAGTATCTGCTGGCCCTGGACTCAGAAGCACTCAACACCTGACAGCTTTTAAACAATTTAAAGCAGTATGAAGAGAAGGTGCAATTGCTGGTGAGGATAGGACTTGTACACATCTGCAGCWAAGATCAAAATCACAAATAATGCCTTTGGATAGTAGCAGGGATACACAGGAAAGCTGTGTATAACTTGGTGAGGTTTTTCCTTGTGCTGCTATTGCAGGGGAAGGGAATGAGAATTACGCTACAAGAACCTAAAGCAGAGAATTCACTCTCTGTATACATTGTCACCAGCAAGTCAGGTGTCCTTATTGAGACTTTATTTTTACTGTTAATGGTGTCTGGGGAACAAAAATAACAAAAAAATCCCCAACAAAAACCAAATTAAAAAACCCCTCNCCCCAAAACAAAAAACCCCAATAACCCAGTACAAATATGAAATAGAAATTCAAAGTGGCTGTGATAGGTTGCTGCAATTGACTTCAGGTTAATGAAGATGCCCTAACTGGAAGTGGGAGCCAAAAAAAAAATGTAGGTGATTTAAGATGCCCCAGTTCCCAAGTTTTACTGGAAGTGTGACATACACCTGCTTGTTTAGACCTAGCATTCTTCACGTTCTTCTTCTAAAGGCTATATTGCATAACCTAAACACATTGTAAATACCTATATAAGAACAAGACTAGTGAAATTATTAGCTGGATTGGTGGAACAGCTCTTTAGTAGACTGCAGATAATGGGGATATAGAGGAAAATCTTGTTTTGTTCAATGGTCACTGAAGGAAGGGGGCAAGTTGAGAACAATTTTCTTCAGTCTTTGTAAATAAGAATTCCAAAAAGGTATTTTTACGTAAAATATAAGGGCTGGGAAAAAAAAGCCCTTATTTTCATTATGAAAAATGCTTCATAAATTATGACTCAAGTTGGAAGAACAAACACATGTGAATTAGGTCTGTCCAACAGTGAATTTTCAACAGCATAGAGAAAATGATGCTGTCTTTCATTTAGTTTCATAAAACTGGTATATACGTACCATGAAACTTCAACACGCAAAATTAATCACACTAATCTTGGTATGTGCCACTTTTAAAAGACTATACACCATTTTCCCAAAGCAAGTGGTGTGCCTACCTGTGGTGGGAGGTGTTGGAACTGGATGGTTTTGAAGGCCCCTTTCCTACTCAAGCCATTCTGTGATTCTATGATTTTAAATCCAGAGTATCTTTCAGTTTTAACAATACTAAACACTGTCTGCTATGTAAGTGTTTCCAGAAGAGGCACTATCTCGTGCCCATCCTACAGAGAAGGCCAACAGAGCATTCTTTATTAATCAGCAGAAGCATCACTTCTGTTCATCTCAATGGTAGAGAACTGTAAACACAAATGGCTTATTTAAGGAGTGTGGGATGTTCTAAAGCCACACGAGGCTCAAATGTTTCAATCTCTGTAACTGCTGCAGCACAAGAGCAACTGACAAGTGGCCTTGACACAGCTGGCCTAACCTGTACAGTGTTTGGAGCTAAGTTTTTTGGATCATGTCATCCAGATCCAAGCCTCGACTTGCATTAATTAATGTAGGA